CTGTACAGAAGGTGGGTCGGGCAAGTTTGTGTATAAAAGGTGGGTCGGGCAAGTTTATGTACAGAAGGTGGGTCGGGCAAGTTTGTGTACAGAAGGTGGGTCGGGCAAGTTTGTGTACAGAAGGTGGGTCGGGCAAGTTTGTGTACAGAAGGTGGGTCGCGCAAGTTTGTGTACAGAAGGTGGGTCGCGCAAGTTTGTGTACAGAAGATGGGTCATGAAGGTGGGTCGGGCAAGTTTCTGTACAGAAGGTGGGTCGGGCAAGTTTGTGTACAGAAGGTGGGTCGGGCAAGTTTATGTACAGAATGTGGGTCGGGCAAGTTTGTGTACAGAAGGTGGGTCGGGCAAGTATATGTACAGAATGTGGGTCGGGCAAGTTTATGTACAGAATGTGAGTCGGGCAAGTTTATGTACAGAAGGTGGGTCGGGCAAGTTTATGTAAAGAGTGTGGGTCGGGCACGTTTATGTACAGAATGTGGGTCGGGCAAGTTTATGTACAGAAGGTGGGTCGGGCAAGTTTATGTACAGAATGTGGGTCGGGCAAGTTTATGTACAGAAGGTGGGTCGGGCAAGTTTATGTACAGAAGGTGGGTCGGGCAAGTTTGTGTATAAAAGGTGGGTCGGGCAAGTTTATGTACAGAATGTGGGTCGGGCAAGTTTGTGTATAAAAGGTGGGTCGGGCAAGTTTATGTACAAAAGGTGGGTCGGGCAAGTTTGTGTATAAAAGGTGGGTCGGGCAAGTTTATGTACAGAATGTGGGTCGGGCAAGTTTATGTACAGAATGTGGGTCGGGCAAGTTTATGTACAGAATGTGGGTCGGGCAAGTTTGTGTATAAAAGGTGGGTCGGGCAAGTTTATGTACAGAAGGTAGGTCGGGCAAGTTTGTGTACAGAAGGTGGGTCGGGCAAGTTTGTGTATAAAAGGTGGGTCGGGCAAGTTTATGTACAGAAGGTGGGTCGGGCAAGTTTATGTACAGAATGTGGGTCGGGCAAGTTTATGTACAGAATGTGGGTCGGGCAAGTTTCTGTACAGAAGGTGGGTCGGGCAAGTTTGTGTATAAAAGGTGGGTCGTGCAAGTTTATGTATAGAAGGTGGGTCGGACAAGTTTGTGTACAGAAGGTGGGTCGGGCAAGTTTATGTACAGAAGGTGGGTCGGGCAAGTTTATGTACAGAATGTGGGTCGGGCAAGTTTATGTACAGAAGGTGGGTCGGGCAAGTTTATGTACAGAAGGTGGGTCGGGCAAGTTTATGTACAGAAGGTGGGTCGGGCAAGTTTATGTACAGAAGGTGGGTCGTGCAAGTTTATGTACAGAATGTGGGTCGGGCAAGTTTATGTACAGAATGAGGGTCGGGCAAGTTTATGTACAGAATGTGGGTCGGGCAAGTTTATGTACAGAATGTGGGTCGGGCAAGTTTCTGTACAGAAGGTGGGTCGGGCAAGTTTGTGTACAGAAGGTGGGTCGGGCAAGTTTGTGTACAGAAGGTGGGTCGCGCAAGTTTGTGTACAGAAGGTGGGTCGCGCAAGTTTGTGTACAGAAGGTGGGTCATGAAGGTGGGTCGGACAAGTTTGTGTACAGAAGGTGGGTCGGACAAGTTTGTGTACAAAAGGTGGGTCGGGCAAGTTTGTGTACAGAAGGTGGGTCGGGCAAGTTTGTGTACAGGTGGGTCGGGCAAGTTTGTGTACAGAAGGTGGGTCGGGCAAGTTTGTGTACAGGTGGGTCGGGCAAGTTTGTGTACAGAAGGTGGGTCGGGCAAGTTTGTGTACAAAAGGTGGGTCGGGCAAGTTTATGTACAGAAGGTGGTTTGGGCAAGCCGTGCGAGCGGACTAATCGTATTTGTCTTATCCCATTGTCACGATGTCACGTGTTTGTCATATCCCATTGTCACGATGTCACGTGTTTGTGTCTAGCATACATCTACACGGGATCAAATTAGTATCTGTAATAAGCTTAAAGGCGTCATTCATGACGTAAATCGTGGGGGGGGGCATGTGGGTTCAGACGTCAGACGAGGTGAGACAATAGGGACAGAAAGTTCTCGAATACACTCAACGAAAAATGCTTGTTTTTAGACTAGCACAGAATAAGACACAAATTTAAATATCCATTTTACATGCATTTACATTTTAAACTTTTTAAACTTTTACTTTTAAATGTACATACAAATTTCAACACGTATAGAATTCGCGGATAAATCAAACAGTCTGTGAACGAGGTGGACAGTTTAGCTGAATACAACTTTGCCGAGCTACTGGGTCTATTGTTGTAGTTATCAAGGGCAGTCTGCCTTAAAGAACGACAACCCGTCCTACACTATCAGCAGATTATAAAAAAAAATCCCCTTGCCAGAGAGGGTTCAACGGAGCGGACCAAAAGAGTTAATTCTTATTTTTTAAAAGTTTGTCTTATCAAATTTTCCCCCCGCTCAATAAATCAATATTTAATTTTAGAGAGTATCACCACAATGTGCCTGGCTCAGGTCCATGGTTATTATGAAATGAATTCTCGCCCCTTTAATACGGTATGAATTCTCGCCCCCTAAATGGCCAAGTTGTGTTCAGCCAATCGGAAATAAGGAGGACGTCACGTGAAAAGTTAACGGCGCCAACTTTATTGTCTCACGGCGTTGACATTATGTTAACAAAATTTCCGTTTCATTAACAGCTCGGGTCAAATTCAGGGTCAGTGCACCTAATAACCCCATCCCATAATGTGAGGGTACCGAAGCTTCTAGTCTTGTCGTTATGAACCATCCCTCCTCCCACACACACATTGTCTTGCCAACACCCCCCTCCGCCCACTCATTGTCTAGCCACCCTCCCCCCCTCCGCCCACACATTGTCTTGCCAACACCCCCCTCCGCCCATTCATTGTCTAGCCACCCCCTCCCCCTCAGCCCACCCAGTGCCTTGCCAGGCGCCCCCCTTACCCCACTATATCTTGACATTATGAAACATCCCCTCTATCCCAAGTCTGGAAACCTACCACATACTCTGGCAACAATCTTAGTTAAAGATTCGGGTGCCATTAGCCAACCTTGTGCAATTAAAACAATGTAAGAGGAATTTTCCGTTTAAATTTCTTTCATTCTGGTAAAGTTCATTAGTGCTGGATGTTAATTTAAAAAACCGCCATAGTTTGTATCCTGTTGTCCTCATTAGAATATAATAGCCATACAACCATTCTGGCGCCCGGACCAATTATCAACTGTACCCCCCCCCCCCCTGTCATTTATATACAGCCTACAGTTATTCACCCTGGTGAAAAGCGCCCTCCACCCCCCTTTCTCCGGTTGAAAAGGTTGGTGGCTCTTTATACCTGTCGCTATCCCGTACCTGTTTTTTTTTAATTATTATTACCACACATTTGATGTAGAGCAGGGGTCTCCAAACAACGGCCCGCGGGCCGGATGCGGCACGCGAGGTCCTCTCATCCGGCCCGCGGAGATGTTTTTGTCAACGGACAAACCGTTTGTTGGTGATGGCTGAGGAACTTTGCCCAGAAAAATTAAATACATTTCTGGAAGAAACTGGCCCCCGAACTGACATTTGATAGTTAATACGGCCCTCGGACTGAAAAGTTTGGAGACCCCTGATGTAGATGATCAGTGTGTAAAGCTTTGTTGCCGTTTATTTTCTTAACCTCGACTGTGTATAATTCAATACTTCAGATTAAAATGAGCTTTTTCATTTGGTTCCAGCCATTTTGGCGCCCCACCCACCTGCCTTACCCTAGCTACGCCTCTGCATACAACCATCTTCAACAAGTGCTAGGTTAGTTTTACCCACTGTCTTCTTATGTTTAAGAAAGTAAAAATCGGAGTATGTTAGGTAACAAGATATCGAACTACTCAGATACCAACAATTTTTCTAAAATCAAATTAAATGTTTACAGTAAGTTGGCGCTCATGTTAAAATAGTCTGATGATTTGTTTGCTATCAAGAAATTCCCCACAAATACTTCGAGTACTTAATAAAGCTGCGTTATACATAAGTCTATGCGACTAATATTTTATACAAAAAATAGAGCCTACACCTACACGTGTTATGCTATACAAAAAATACAAGTCCTGTAGATTATCTGGAAATCAAAACTTGATTACAACATTTGTAATGTGACACATTATTTGAAGCAGCTTATCGTGACCTTTCTGGAATTCAGTGAACCAAGGAAGAAACCTAGGATCAGAAATTTCTGTAAAAACCTATATATATATCAGATATATCGTGGCAGTAGCGTAGCGAGGGGGGGGGGGACATATGTCCCCGGGTGCCGACCTTAGGGGGCGCCAAAATGGGTTGGAAAAATAAATTGAAAGGTTGAGGGGGGTGCAAATCGAAAGTTTGAGGGGGGGGGGGTGCAAATCGAAAAGTTTGTCCCCGGGCGCCGGGAAGAGTCGCTACGCCTCTGTATCGTGGTGTTCTGTGTTGATCTAAAAATACGATATATCATCCAGCACTGAGTAAATGTAAACAGTCCAAGAGTGCAGCCAAAACATGCGCGACACATCGCGACCATAAAATTAGAGCATTCGGTTAATATTTCAGCGTCATAATGTATTGCATGTTTGTAGATCCACTCCAACCCCAACAGTCCCCCATAAACAATGAATCACCCCCAACCTACTCATCCATACACATAATCACCTCAATACACTCCCACACACACTGAATCACCACTCCCCACACACTCAACAGAATAATTGTATAATTTGTATTCATCTAGACAATAACCAGGGGCAGTAACTCTATGCTTGGCACACATCGATACAACTCTTGTTGCTTCAAGGTGTTCTATAGATGTGATGATAAGGATAAGTCAATTTAGAACTAAAACACTGTTGGCAAACTATATTTATAGAAGACAAGTTCAAACATTCAACTACCTTTATATTTTTTATAAGACATGTGCAGCTGGTTAACTAGAATCATATTTGAATGTGAAGATTTTAAATAGTTTTATACCTAACACTCTTTTAATGAGTCTGAATTGTTTTCGCATCCATCATGCCTATGTTCGTACATTCTCTCCAAACCCCTGTTTTGGACCTTGCTCAACAAAAGACAGTAGGAGATGTCAAGATTTTGGTTACAGAACGTGAAGGTCTCCCTCTTGAGCAGATGGCAGTGTTCTATGAAGGCCAGCCATTAGAAGACTCCTGTGAGCTTGTAACTTTCAGAAATGAGGCAACATTGAATGTTGAGCTGCGCTTGCTTGGAGGTAAAGTCCATGGTAGCTTGGCTCGTGCTGGTAAAGTACGTGGGCAGACACCTAAAGTTGATAAGCAAGAAAAGAAAAAAGGAAAGACTGGCCGTGCCAAACGTCGTATGCAGTACAACCGTAGATTCGTAAATGTTGTCGCTGGCTTTGGGAGAAAGAAGGGACCCAATGCCCGCTCATAAGTTTTATTAAATGTACAATAAAAAATAAACTGGCACTTATTTTAGACATTTGTATTTTTACTTATTTTCCTATTTAGAGTAAAAAGAGTATTGTCTTTATGCATCTCATGGAGTCATAGAAAAAAAGATGTGACAGGAAAATGTGTCTATTGGCAGAATTAAGAATTATTTCCAACAAAATCCTCCTAAGATAATTTAGTATTCTGGTTATTAAATAAACATGCACTAAATTAGTAAAAAAAAAAAAAAAAAAAAAAAAAAAAAAAAAAAAAAAAAAAAAACACGTTGTGGGGTGGACGGTCGGTTCTTCACGCAGAAAATGTTGCGGCTAACACTACAAAAGCTTCTACCAGTTATTACAAAGGCAGTTTGCCAAGGGAACTATGCAGCAGCAGCTGGTGCAGCCCAAAATCTTGATCCCATCCAACAGCTTTTCTTAGATAAAATTAGAGAGTACCGATCCAGATCTAAAGGAGGTGAGTTAGTTGATGTCACAGCAGAATCTGAAGCCGCCTTAAAGGAAATGCTAGGTAATCTGGAGAGGGCATATGGAGCTAAAGGTGTTGATATGACCCAGTTTCCCAAATTGCAGTTTTCAGAACCCACTATTGCTTGGCCTGGGCTGAGTGATGAGCAGAAGGCCAAAATTGATCAGGCAGTTAAAGCTGAAGAAGCAGAACAGAAGAAGAAAATAGCTGCCGAGGAAGAAGAGGAAGGTGATGGTGATGAAGAACTTCTTAAACTTTAAGAAGCTTAATTTTAGAATATTTTCAGTTTTTTTTTAGGATTACGAGCTGTACAACATTAAATATTTTGTGGATATGATAATAATTTAAAATGAATGCGAAAAAAAAAAAACACGTTGTGGGGTAGATTGAAAATGTCGTTGGCATTGGGAAGGCTACGTCCGATTGTTAAGTTTTTGGCCAAACGTAACAGACAAGTAAATTTGGCTACTGTACGTTATGGCGGAACAGTTGTCTACCGTAAACAGTTTCTTGAGGAGCCTCCTTTTTTGAAATTTGCTGGAACAGCCTGGGCTTTGTATTGTGGTTTTGGGTATTATATCATTGCTGGTATGAATTTGATCATTTAAAAGGACACGCTATCACAGATGCTTCAAAATGGACAAATGAAGAGTTAGGGATACCTCCTGATGACGAAGAATAATATTTTGTTTCAAATAGATTTAGAAAAATTGTTGAATGATTCTTGTGTGAATACTGTCAATTTGCCATTGATTTCATTGAATAAATGGCAATCAAATTTATAATTTTGTGCATATTTGTATGTCTGTAAGTCAGTTTTAAACATTTATTGGAGATAAGTTTCTCGCCAACATGAGTACTGTGGTTGTTGACTGATATTTATTATAGCTAACTTAGTAGAGACTTGATGAGCTAAGCAATTTGTTACTTCCAAAGTTCCTAAAGATGTATTGTTGTAACTTAACTAGTAAAAGATACTTAGATACTAACCTGATATATATCTATTTGAAAATGTAAGTAGGGTATTTTAATATGTAATAAAAAAATACTCAAATCAATTAAAAAAAAACACGTTGTGGAGTCCATGACATGCACCAAATAAACCATCCAGGTCACTCAAATCTCCAGCTGTGTAGATTTTGTAATATTTCCTTTATAGATTTTGTAATATTTCCTTTATAGATTTTGTAATATTTCCTTTATAGATTTTGTAATATTTCCTTTATACTATTGGAGAACAGGCAAAATTTCTTCATCAAAAAATCTCTCCACCTAACTGATAAACCATAGAAAGATGCAGGATCCAAACAACTCTCTAGTTGGTCTATTATAGCTCTAAAATATTTATCCTCTTTAAAAGATTCATGGCATGTGATGGACTCCATGAACATTCCACCTGGTGTTTTCATTAAAGAATTTAGATGTTGCTCAATTAAAAACCTTAAATTGTGTATTAAAAATGATGTAATCACAATAAACAAGTCATTCAAATATGCACATAACAGAAATCCCAAAAGAAATCAGTAAATTAAACTTCACAGCAGAAAATGCGTTCCTGAAAAAAAAAACACGTTGTGGGATCAACGGTAGTCGTTTCCCTTTAATAGACAGCATGAACGTAAATCAAAATGGGACACCAAAAGCAAAATGGAAAAGGAAAAATGTACCGACGTCCTCGTCAGATTCAAGTGAAGATGAACAGAGTTTCTTCCAGGCATCTCTTCGGGGGGGGGGGGGGGGGGCAAAGCCCCCGCCCCCCCCCCCCCCCCCCGAAATTTTTTTACCGCCATCCCCCCCCCCCCCCCCCCGAACGAAATGAAATTTATATAATTTATATAGAAGATATAGCCTTTTAACAGTGTCCGCCCCCCCCCCGAAGAAAGTCTACCGCCCCCCCCCCGAAAATTTCAAGTGCCCCCCCCCCCCGGAGAAAAAAGTCTGGAAGAAACACTGAAGATGAAGAGGAAGCAAAAAAAAATTCAAGCATTGATTTGTGACGAAAGCTTGTCTAATACTGTAAAATCTATAAGCACAAACTATACGGTTAACATAAATGTTTGTGCTGTAGAAAACCACAACATAAGTCTAACAGATCTTTAGATGTTTGTCAGGAGGATGATCATAACATTTTAACTACCACCCCTGAATTTCATGCTTATGTGGCTAAACAACTATCTCCGTATCTTGATAATGAATTAGCTGAATCAATATCAGACAATATTTGGCACTCAAGTTACAAAAAAAAAAATAAACAAACAGGGATTAAACTTGTATCATCATCTAAAGTATTGTGTCAATTAGAAGATCCTCAAAAATCATTAGCTCCACCCCCACAGTTGTTGAATCCCCAACCCAGAAAACACAAGTTGAGCACAAGTTCAGAAAGCTCAGAAGCTGAGAAAATTTCAGCATGTGTATTTTCTGTAAGAGACATAGAAGAAGAAAATGAAAGGCCGGCTGGGATTAAGTCGCAGACTAAAGCAATAGTGGACTCTGTCCAGGCTACTGTTAAAGAAGTTGCAAAAAAAAGAAAAAGAAAAAAAAGAAAAAGATTTTGGAAAAGTCTTAATGTATTTTTATTGTTTTTAGGTGGTCTTTAAAATACTAATGTATATATAAATAGCTTTTTGTTCGTGTTTTATTTTTTTAGAATTTCAATTCAATTTAGAAATAACTTAGGTTTTTCTATCTATTTTGGGAAAACTGGAGCTGAGTTAACAAAGAAAGTATAATGGTGTTTAAAAATAAAAACTTGATCTGGAAAAAAAACAACACAAATGCCACAATATATATATATATATATATATATATATATATATATATATATATATATATATATATATATATATATATATATAGATGGTAATATTGAAATGAAATGTTGGTGGCTCTTTACAACTGGGACACTTTGTGAACTGTTACTTTTGGCTCTTCTGTCTCAAAAGGTTGCCGACCCCTGTTCTAGCTAGGGCCATGCAATGTAACTGAGAGGGCTGTGTCGCACTGTCTAAAAAGAGCGCGAGAGATGAAAAGACAAGCTAATGTTAGAAATTTAAAAGAAGAATCTGTCATAACTGCATAACTAAATTTTGGAATTGAAAAAAAAATTAGACTGTGGGTAAAAATTAAAAATAAATTTAAAAAAAGGCGGTGGTAAAGTTTACTTTGATGAATCTGTTC